TTGCACTCGATAGGCTCTGAAACTACAGGACTGATTTTAAAAGTTCTTTAAGTTGAGTGAATCTACATCATACACGTGTGGCATAGGCTGAAATTTACGATAAAAAGTCGCGGGGAAACAACTAGTATATTATACAAAATCAAACAGAAATTACTATGTAATAAAGAAGTGTTCCGAGTGGCTTAATAATGCAGTTATTCGTGCGATTGATTTGCAATTATTTGATAAAGCATGGTATGCCATTCGACTGGTTCGATTTGTAGCAATTAAAAATCCCCAAACCGCATTACACTTTTTTATGAAATGACCCTCACTAGTTTCTTCCGTCTTTACCCCCAGACGGAAGAATCCGGGATCCTGTTAGGAGAGCTCCGGACCCAACCCCCAAACTGCACTGGAGCTACGTGGTGGTAAGAACTGCTGATACAACAGAGGCAATGGCTATGTGCTTTCTGAAAGACTATAGCCTATTCTAATAAAATTATTATGACTTTGACTTGTGTCCATTAACATATTGCTTTAAGCTAGGAACAAAAGGTAGCAAAATTGCAGAGTTACAATTGTATACATTTACGTCCGTACACAAAATAACGAAGACCATAATATTCAGTTAACGTACCCGATACTATGTAAATTTGGTTGGTTCACCGACATTTTGCGTTACGTCAAGATCGTTCACTTTATATCACCGCGATAGGGCTACCAAGAGGTATCATAAAAAATATTATCTGAAAAACCGCGGCCATTTTGATTTTACGATACGAATAAACAGACGCGGCATGTTGCATGCATCCCTTAAGTGTTTCGTTGACTCGTCACGTTTGCTTCATTTGCTTCATTCGGAGTTTAAGGTTTTTCTCTGATATGAAGAAGCTTAATTTTTGGTCGGAAGTATGTTTATTGTGAAGAGTAATTTTATGTGTTACAGTTCTATTTGCTATTAAATTTACAAAGTAATATTCGAGAAAAGAATGAATGTGTAATCTTAAGGTTGCTGTGGGAGACGCAGTGGGATTCAGAGAAGAAAAAATATCTACAAAACAACTTTTCTCACTCTGTAATATCGTAGAGAAGTATCTGTTTTAACAAAAGTCCGGACTAGTTTTATCTACGTGTTATGCAGTCTCAGTAGCATGCGTGTGAATAGATGGGCTCAGGATTTCGTTATAGTTAGAGAGGATGAGCTATAACCTTCTACGCTAGCCGGATGTGGATGGGAGGATATTAAAGACTGCTAGTACAACCGAGCCCATCGGCTTAACATGCCTTCTGAAGCACGGAGTTTGACGGCCTGGTTTAGAGTCAATTGGTGTTAAGCAAGTCTACGTGCTGTCAGCAAGACTGTTTGTATACTTGTATCCTCCAAGTGAAAGTGTAGTGTTTCAATAGATGGGCTCAGGATTTCCTTATGGTTAGGGAGGATAAGCCATAACCCTCTACGCTAGCCAGATGTGGATGGGAGGGTATTAAAGACTGCTAGTACAACCGGGCCCATCGGCTTAACGTGCCTTCTGAAGAACGGAGTTTGACGGCCTGGTTTAATGGTGTTAAGCAAGTCTGTTTGTTGACTTGTGTCCTCCAAGTGAAAATGCAGCTTTCTGTTATATTTTAACTCAAAAGTTCAACTAAATAAAGGACAATGTCCAAATTAGCCTATGAACCTCTAAGAATATCTTGTATATCATAATTCTTATCATATTTTATGATTAATATATCAGCTTTTAAAATCAAACGGACACTGCCCATTTTTGTAATTACTTTAAAAAGTAATATCAATACATTTGATAAACTTCAATAAACGCTGCCACCATATTTTAATAAGTTGACAAATCAGGATCTATGCACAATTTGATGTATAATCAACCAATGAACACTTAAAGCGCTTGACATTAAAACGAGACTCAAAACGTTCGTAGATTTTTAAGCGGCTGGAAGCGCTCTTTTACATACGTTTGACAATTTTGAACTTTTGAAGTTTTGTTTGACAATCGCTTTCATACTCGCGTTGTGTTTACGTCGCTTGAGTTTGTTTGTACGATTTCTTGTGTCTTGTGAATATTAGTTATAAAATAACGACTTGGCTTGAACTAAGGACTGATTTCGTCTTATAATATCGACCTCCGGCAGTGATTTACGGCATACCGACCTACTATAGACGACGACTTGGCATTTATTTAACGGACATTAACATGGAATCTGGGTGTGTTGAAGTATTTTGTGTTAATTGCGGTTCAGCTTCTGGTTGCATGGTATTAGAAGATGAGCAGATCCTTCAGTGTATACAACACTAGGTTGCTCCAAGATTGGTAAGTACATGCTCCCGATACAGAACCTACAGAACCTTTTAAAGCAAACAACAACAATCAACATTTAAAGCAAAGTAGACATACATTTCCCTACAAAAAGCAAGTAAAACAAACATTAAAAAGAATCTAACCGCACGCTACAATTGATAAAATTATAACCTAAAATCCAAAATATATTTTTTGATTTATACATTTCTTAGAAGTGTCCGTTACTTAAACATGTATTTAGACGTAAATATAGATACTTTAGAACACGAAAAGTGATAGTACATGCTTAGAGGTTCTTAGGCGAAAAATGTATGGGGGCTGGACATTGTCCTTTTATGACACTAATGTTACGCTGCGAAAACTTGAAGAAAGTAAGAAAAATATACTACTACAAATATTATTAAAACACACACGGCATTAAATTAGTTACATAAAACGTTACAACTTTCGTTATAATATTCATAAACATTGATGCTCAACTAACAAACATTGCCCAAACGCATGGGCGTCTGTAGGTGCTACAGTGACGTCACATAGTGCCTTGAATTTATTTGTATGGAGCGTTCCACAAACATACCATATCACCAAAACTATTGACCGCAGACATGCTGTGATTTCTACATTATTTCTCAGATATTAATAGACTATTTGTCTATAAAATAAAATAAAAACTTGTCAGTTAGCCTATTATCTTCAGCGAGTAAAGTCTATTAATCCGAAAATGAGGATATTATACAAACAAACATTGATGAAAGACTATTGTATAATGCTTACAAGTGAAAGCGTAAACAAAGATTTTATCAAATTAATCCAACAGTATCTTACTCGTCTATACACGTAAATACGTTCGTATGAGTATGTTTGATTTCTTAGAAGATACGCTTACCGATCACGTATACAACTTTAACTAAATCACACCTGAAATAGCAAAATTTACATACACTATTGTAATCCTCCAAATTCCAACCATACTGTAAATCAAGTAAAGCCCGCCTACTTAATTAAACAACACCTTGCAGTCTTACTCAATTATAATAGGGTCCATAATTCACTGACAAACATTGCTAACTAAGGGTTAATTATGCAAATAGATATGTACGTTATTGATACAATTGTGATAACAAACACCTATTGTACTGGAACCAATTAATTAAGAAACAATATAGCAAGATAGATCGCTCTGAAATTCATTACAAGTCTATCAGGGGACTAGCAAATTACTTGTGTAGTTACTAATCGTCTAGTGTCCAAAGCTGCAAACGTATGATTCTTTATTTGAATATGCAATGTTATATAATACCGAAAGATCGGAGACCAGACTTACAGAATTCAATAGAGACAACAAAAAAGTAAAGCATTGCCTTAGTTTCACTTCATCAAGTGTCACATCTATACATTGTTTTCGCAAAAAAATCAGTGAAGGAATCCTTCCCACGTCTTTAAATCATACACCAATTACACTTTAATAGTTAAAGAAGTGTAATATCATTAGTATTGTATGCGCCATTTTATGCCGTTTTTTATTAGCTTAATTCAAATAAAACGAAATGCATAAAGTTTGCATTACCTTATGTGAGGCATGTTAATACACTTATAAATGTAAATAGTGAAAAAGTTGAGTTGGTGGAATCGACAAAGTTCCTTGGTATTACACTAGATTCCCGACTGCAATGGGATCCTCATATTGATAACTTGTCAAGTAGACTAAGTTCTGCAGCATTTGCTGTTAAGAAAATTAGACTCTTGACAAATGTTGAAACGGCAATATTGTTATATTTTAGTTATTTTCATAGTGTAATGACGTATGGTCTATTGTTGTGGGGTTCTGCGGCTAGCATTCAAGATATTTTTATTCTACAAAAGAGAGCTGTCCGCGCTATATATAATCTACGGTCTAGAGAATCTCTCAGAGAAATATTTAAAGAAATAAATATTTTGACTGTTACCTCTCAATGAAAATATTATTTACGCAAGAAAACATTACGATTCCTTCACAAAAAAAGTAGTGTTCATAATCTTAACACAAGAAATAAAAATAAACTTGCCGTTCCAAGCTTCAGACTTCAGAAAACCAGAGGATCATTTCTGGATAATGCATTGATAAGTTTAATAAAGTTCCACAAAATGTAATTGACCTACCCATAAATAAATTTAAAATTCATGTAAAAACACACTTATGAGTAAAGGCTATTATAAAGTTGATGATTATTTTAAGGATCGCAATGCATGGAATCAATTGCCTTTGCTTTGTTCTATAACGACTGATTTTTTTTTTCCCCTGTGGCAACACTAGCGTAAACAGCTGTTATTATTATCTCTTACTTTTTAGTTTTTGTTTTATTAATATTTATGTTACTTATGGCAAATTTCTAAAGAATTACGTAATATTTGTGTAATTGAATTATAAATATTGTTTATGTGAACATCAGTGTATCGTAATAAAACTTTTTTTACGTAAGTACAAATCTGTATCAACAGGTGAATGAGGTCAACCTTTTTAAAATTGTTAATCGTTGTTGTTCCTCTTGTATGATTTCTTTTGTTTTTTTTTTCTCGTCTACTAATGCATCACAAATAGTATTTACAGGCTAAGTTACTTTTTAGCCAATAAGTGTTGAGTTATCCTTCAGATAACCTCACACTAGTTGATCGAACGACTTCTTGGACTATTGCTTTATACTTTCAATAGTTTTCTATTAACCTAAAATGATGACACGTAAGGCCTTAGCTCGTCAAGAGGAATCAAAATTTCAAATTACTTTACAGGAATTAAAGGCCACCAAGGAGTTGGTTGAGCATACTTAGGGAGAGGGAGGATAAAAAAATTTAAAAAGTCTGAATTGCACTGTAATTATTTAATAATAACTGAGGAGAAAGATAGATTACAATTAGTAATAGAAGGGTTCGATCAGTGCAGAAATGAGTATGAGAAGGTCCTTAGGCTCATTTCTGGATTGGAACAGCAACTACAGGAGGCTAACGATTGCATATATAAACTAGAATCTGAGCAAACAAAGGTTATGGCCTCTCAGAACCAGAGTCTATATGATGAGTTGGTTGGTTGTGCCCCCATTCTTATTTCTGCCTCACTTAACATTAACCCAGTGACAATTGGCTTGACTACAGATGATTTTTAAGTGTTCTGGAAAAAAAAGGTCTTGTTAAGTGTAGTAGGAATATATTGAGAAAGTATATAAAACTAAATAGGTATGTTAATAAAACAAAAACACTATTACATAAACAAAAATTCTAAATTCTCAAAGGAACGCATACAATTGATAGAAAAATTAGAAACATGCCGTTCTATAATCGATGAAAATAGAACAACCTATGAAGAGAATATTGACGTGTTAAATAGTAAAATAAATAACCTGCAAATACATTTGTAAAATTGACAAAAAATTATGATCACTCCAAAAAAGAGATAGGGGAGTACATACTAGCCTTGAAATGCTTATCAAATACTTCTATATCAGAGGATACACAATTAGATTCTTTCTCCTTGGTGTCAGGCCTGGATTCCAGGGAGAAGAAAAATAAACAATCGGTATGTGAGCCCTTATACTCTAATTCTGTTAATTATACACAAAGCACGAGTGACAATAACTCTTTTAACAATAAAAAATGTATAAAAACTGTTATATTATGTGATGAAATTGGAAAAGACTTGGGCCATTTATTACATAACCAGTTGGGAGATAACATTATTAATTATTGTATGCCCGGTATTGAATTGCATCAACTAATGAAAAAAGTGTTAACTTTATTTGGATTGACGAAAATACTGTTTTACTCTAATATTGTGTAATATTGTAATGGAAAGTGACTTCAAATTTTAATGAAGTCATTTTTCAATCTTGACGCTCTGTATGAAATAAAACAGGGAGAAAAAAGCAGCCCTTGCCGAGTTTCTTGCCGGTTCTTCTCGGTACAAGGTCTCCCGCCGTAGATTTACGAACCGATGGCGTAGCTCTCGACTTTCACAAGTGCTTGTAACAGCCTAGGCTGAATAAATGATTTTGATTTTGATTTTTGATTTTTTAAATATTGACAAGGGTACAAACTTAGTAATTTTAATTGGAAACAGAGGTAATGTAAATAAAAGAGAATTATGTAACTACTTCAATACCTTAAGCTCCTTGAATTTAAATAAAATTATTATCTTTACATTACCTTATAGTAACAGTTTGCCACAGGAGGAAAATAATATTAGATATGAGTTAAATATGGCATTGATGAAGGAACTTTCCTGATTTAATGAAATATGGTTAAATAATCCCACTTTTCAAGGCAGGCGACAAGTCTGATCCCAGTAATTTCAGACCAATATCTATACTACCAGCGCTAAGTAAAGTATTTGAAAAAAATATTTATAATCAACTGCTTGCACACTTTTCGTTACATTTATTATTTCATAAAAATCAGTTTGGTTTTAGCAGAGGAAAATGTACCACAGACGCTGGTATTGCACTTCTGAAACATATCTATGATGCTTGGGAGAATAAACAAGATGCTATCGGCATTTTTTGGACCACCAGAATAATAGCGATTCCGTTAGTGTTGTGTGTGGCGGTACTTGGAGAAAAAACTGGACAGTAGAAGTAGATTCCACTTCAGAAGATAAGACGTAGCATCGCAGAAACAGTCGCCCCGTGATCACGGCCGGTGTAACCTGATCGAAACGTCGGGAAATATAGGTATGTGAAAAACCTAACTATCGAAAATTTTATCGCGTTAATACCCGTCTTATACAATCTAATATAATGCTCAATGATCTCTGTAGAGTTTCCCAACAAGTGGATCTTAAAATGAACATGGAGAAGACGAAAATAATATCAAACTCCCATGTCGTACCCACTCCAGTGAATGTTGGAGGCTCTACACTGGAAGCTGTCGACGAGTACCTTTACCTGGGACAAATAGTCCGATTAGGTAAGTTCAACTTCTAGAGAGAGATAAATCGACGGATCCAACTCAGCTCGTTCGGGAAGCTACGCAGTGTATTTTGGGAACATCTACCGCAGTGTCGCAAGACGAAAGTCTTCAGTTCGTGCGTGTTGCCAGTGATGACATACTGAACTGAGAAGTGGGCCTCATAAGGATGCTTAAGGTCGCTCAAAGGGTAATGGAAAGGGCTATGCTCGGGGTTTCTTTGCGAGATCGAATCCGAAATGATAAGGTCCGCAGAAAAACGAAAGTCACTGACATAGCCCAAAGAATTGCGAACCTCAAGTGGCAGTGGGCAGGGCACATCGCTCGCAGGACTAACGGCCGTTAGGGCGGTAAGGTTTTGAAGTGGCGATCGCGTACCTGGAGACGCAGTGTTGGTAGGCTCCCCACAAGGTGGACCGACGATCTGGTGAAGGTCGCGGAAAGCCGCTGGATGCGGGAGGCGCATGACCGATCACGTTGAAGATCATTGGGGCAGGCTTATGCCCGGCAGTGGGCGTCTCTCTTTTGATATGATGATGATGATCTTCAGACTTTGAAAGTTGTATTTGGCAGGTAAAGATTGATAAAGAAAAATAATTGTTTTTATAAAAATATTGCCTTGAGGAAACAACGCAGTAGTCTAAAGGATTCTTTGCAAATATATAGCGATAAATTATGTGAAAGTCGGCAGATGTATGATTAATACAAAATAAATATTTAGTTGCACAGTCTCAGATTGATGAGCATATTAGGTCTGCCACAGAGTTGGTTGACCTATGCAATTACAATGCTGACCGTTACCATTCAGTGTTAAAATTTTAACAAATAATTAACAAAACAAATAACAGCTTTTTTATTAACAATAATAATATTCCGAAACAATTTATAAGTAAACAGAAACCCTGTCAGTCATCTGCCCACCAGTCACAACTGTTTACTCAGATACCTGTTCAGTCATCTGTCACTGATGACTGCACTCAATCACAAGTTTCCCAACGTTACTCAATGGATTCACATAATTATAAAAATAATATTTTAATATTCAGTGATGAAATTGGCAAAAACATGGGCCGTCTGCTATTCGATAAGGGCCATTCAACATCAAACTTCTGTATGCCTAATTCCATTTTTAGTGATATTTTGGAAAAAACAATAAAACAAAACTACAGCGAAAATGCCACTTTATTGTTTTTTATTGGCAATAGAGGTACTTTGAACAAACATAAATTATTGAAATATATAAACGAATTAAATTCATTAAGTGTTGGGAAAGTCGTGATTTTTACGTTGCCTTATTGCAATAGTATGTCCAGTAAAGAAAACAATTTGCGATACAAACTGAATATGACATTGCACACTCTATGCAATACTGCAAAGTAACATGTCATTGACACTAACAAGTATGTTAGAAAATTTTATTTGACTAAAGATAAATATTATCTTTCCAATTGTTATAAGAGACAAATAGCTATTTCGCTATCATATTTTTTTTCTATAACAGCCAAAAATTTGGCTTACCAGATTGCTCCTATTCAGCACTCTTCAATTGACATGACTGTCAGTAATAATCCTACTGATATTGCGACAAATTCGTCTTTGAATTAGATATTAAGACAACAGAGTATTCCTCTTGCTTGCTATTGAATAGTTAAAGTAATAATGCACCAAAATGTTCAAGGAATGTTGAGTAAAGAGTAAGAAGTAGAATTATTCATGAACTATTATCTGTATAACGGAATATTTTCTGTATAACGGAACATTGGTTAACAAGTTATAATTGCATTTTTAACTTCAATAATCACCTGATTAGTAGCTCGTTCATTAGGAAAAACGCAATGCGTGGTGGCGCACTAATTTTATTAAATAAAAAGTTTCAATTTAAAGAACGTCGAGATATAGTGAGCCTATCGGTTGAGGAAATAATAGACATTGCCTGCTTAGAGCTAGACCAGCTGACTGTACTGAGCGTATATAGACCTCCTTCAAGTTTAGTTTCTCATTATGATCTTTTTGAAACAGTTATGGATGAAACTTTAAAAAAGGTATAGGTATAGCTAAGGCAAACGATTAGTTATTGGGGGTGATTTTAACGTTGATTTATTAGGAAACTCCATTTCATGTACAAGACTTGTAAATCTATTTATGTCCTATAATCTTGCTCACATGTTTAAGGAGCCTACTAGAGTAACTGCTACTTCGTCCACATGTATTGACAACATTTTTACAGATCTGGTATCACTTTCAAAACAGATAACTAAACAACTACCGTCAGATCATTTTGGACGAATAGTTAGCTTTTCGCATAAATGTACGTTTGTGGCTAGTGAAGAAACACAGTTGTGTCAAAAAGTATGAGTCACTTGGAACGTTTTAAAAATCAATAAGATAGTAAATTGTATCATCTGAAACATAATAGTAATCCCAATGATTTGTACAAAGATTTCTTTGATGTTTATTGTACAGAATTCAATAGGATTTTTGTCCCAAAAAAAAAAATATTATTAGTAATCCTATAACTTTTAGTGTGTGGGCTACACCAGGAATCTATATAAGCAGAAAAAGGCTCTACGAACTACATGATGAACGTAATTATAACACAAGTGGTGAGGACTTCAAAGAATATGTACGAAATTACTCTAAATTATTTGAAAAAGGGTTCGCTTAGCCAAATGTTATTATTTAAATGCAAAAATTAAAAATAGTAAAGATAAAGTTAAAATGACGTGGAATATCATAAATAGTGAAAAAACCCGGAATATAAATTTTAATTTAAACATTGATATTAAAAAATTAACATCAGATTTTGAAGTTGCTACATTATTTGGAAATTTATTTACTGAAATTCCAGTCTTAATAACTGGAGGATTTCCAATGATTGAAATTTTGAAAATGAGTGGACTTACATTTTTTTTTTATGGAATAGGGGGTGGTCGAGCAGGCGGATCACCTGATGGTGAGTGATTACTGCCGCCCATGGACACCTGCAACACCAGAGGAGCTACAAAGTGCGCTGCCGGCCTTTGAGGGACGAATAAGCTCTACGCTTGAAAGTTTGAAGGTCGTATCGGTCCGGAAATACCGCTGGCGACAAACTGTTCCAGAGTTTGGCTGTGCGAGGCAGAAAACTTCTAGAAAAACGCACAGTTGAGGACTTCCAACCATCCACATGATGGGCGTGGATTTCTTGTCGCGTGGAATGTTGGCGGAAAGTAGCGGCAGGTATAAGTCCGAACAATTCCTCGGAGCATTCCCCGTAATTCCTGAACAAACCGTTAACGCTTTGCCTGATAAACAACCAATT